TTTTTTTTTGTTTTTTCTTCTCTCTGTTAGTTGATCTTCTCAGATTTCTCCAAATTTCTGTCCGATTTTCCATCTTATTATGTCGATGTTCTCATACCTTCTATACATGTTGAAGATAGTGACTAAACGAGTGAGTGGCTTATCAGTTGGAGAGGGAATAGGGAAGGATCCATGATACTATTACGATACGGAGAACGGGCAGCCAAACAAACCGAAGTCGTTGATAAGGAAGTGCTGTTTGTGTGTGGGGGTTGATAAGCATTAGTGAGGACGGTGTGTTCCGAGGCTGACTGGACAGAACAGACGCGCCAAGCCCAGAGCTGGGTTGGTCTCAATCTCAACCACCAACCTCGGGAAGCCACTCACTCTGGCTTGCTCTTCTTTTCACTTTCATCTGTCGAGATCTTTCCTCCCATAATAGGATCAGACACCACCAGACTCTTTCTCTCTCTACGCTCCAACCCCGTAGGTAGTGTCGGTATTGGGACCTTCTCGAGTCTTGCAGTCATGGCCTTTCGCAACGGGTCCTTTGCGACCTTTCTCATCGTGTGCCGTAAGCAGCAAATCCCCTCCAAACCCCCCCCCTTCCCTTTCACTCCTCCCTCCTCCAACCTTCCCCTAGAAGTTGAGACCCTTTGAAACCTGATTTGGGACGCAACCGAAATTAGCAACCAGCTTCTTCCTCGGCATCATCTTCTCCCTGTTCCCCTACGACTACCCAATTCTCTGGTCCACGACCCCGACGCCCGCCACGCATTTCGACTACTTTGAGTCGCACCTGCGCTTCCTACATGCCTCTCCGCCCCTTATTCCGCGCATCCTCCACATTGTTATCTTCTTGGGGCTAGCCGGCCTCGTCACAAAACTCTACCGCCCGTCGGAGAGCAACATGCTCTTTGATGGCGCGAGCCTAGTCCTATACATGTGTGGTGTGACGGTCTACATTGCGAATATCGTGAAGGGTCTGCGCCTTGTCAGCGCCGGCACCTATGGCGACGATCTCCTTGCTGCTGCCGCCGCCGCTGGGGCTGCTGGGAGTGAAGCGCCCGCGGAGGAGGGCCAGATTCTGGGCCGTGAGGACTCGCTGAAGGTGCTTGCGGCCAGTAACACAATCCTGGCGCTGGTGCTGGTTGGTGTCCTTGTGTTGCAGGCGGGGCAGTGGTATGCCGAGCGCAAGGAAGCGCAGGAGGTGGAGAGCTTCAAGGCTGCCTCTGCTGCTGCGACGGCGGCGTCCAGAAAAGGATCCTCCGCGAAGGACAAGGAGGATGCTGTGCAGAAGGAAGAGGAGCAGGATAAAGGGGAGAAGGATGGTTCTTCTTCTTCTGCTACTGCGACTGCGACTGCGACCGGGCGGGTGACGAGGCAGGCAAGCTCAAGGAAGAAGAATTAGGGGGGAGGGCCCTGGCCTCCGCAAATCTAGAGGTCCTATCGCAAGTACGAGCGCAGGTGAAGGTTTGAGAGGCTTTAGTGATATAGGAGAGCGGCAAGAGGAGTCGCTGCGGCTTCGTTGCAAAAAAATTGAGGCAGGTTTATTTGTGCTGCGCTGCTGGAGTGGATCTATTTTCTCACCATGGAAGGCTGTGCAAAAAGAAAAAAAAAACGGAACTTAGTCGGTCGGCCTGAAGGTGTGTCCCTGGTAGTTGACCAAGATCATTCACCTCTACCCAGTCGAAGATTGTCCTCCAACTTGTATAATTCTTCACAACGGAAGGTATCATAGTCTTTCTCCTACCGCATCATATAATACAAGGAGCTAAGCCTCATACACCAATACGGGGATCTCTATGTACAAAAATAGACAGGAAGACAACCCATTCTCCCGAATCGTCTTTTGGATCTTGGAATGATCATTTTGAGAGGAAGACTCAATCCATATATGAAACACATGATGGCTATAATGTTTGTTGTGGGGGAATCATAAGGCTGAATAAGGGAAGAGAAATAAGAACAAAGAAAAAGAGAGAATGACAAGAGATAACGGAATCGAGGGACGAGGCTATTCTGAACATATCAACGCGAGGAGACAAAGCAGATCCTGGATATTGTGCATGCTTTGCGTGATATGTGCGGGACAGGACAAAGATAACAAGAACAGGCCACCCATGCTTCGATAGATGTAGAGCTCGAATATATACAGCGAGAGGGAGGAGAGACATCACATATGCAAAGCGCCTGGGCCGAAGGAAAAAGGGCTCCGGGGGAGGTCTGGCGTGCGAGGACTCAGGGCCTTGGCGAAGAGGTCCTCGCCTGACTCAGCGCTGGAGGAGCGTGCTGCGGTGCCCATCGAGGCGAAGCCGATGTGGTGATGGTGTTGTTGGTCGCTGTGGGCTTGGAGGGATTCTGGCGGGTAGTGGACGATGACGGGGCGGATCATCGGGGGTTCGGCTGGAGGCTGTAGACCTGGACTGCTGTTGCTGTGGTTGCTGTTGAGGGTGTGGAAGGACGTGAAGGAGGAGACGGCCACATCTGGGGATCGCGGAGAGAGCAGATGACGGGCGGTGGCGGCGTGGCCTGCATTAATTGTTTGCGGTAGTGATTTAGCCTTCGCCTCGGATAATGTGAAGCTCATTGATTGAGCACAGGGGGTGAAGAAACACTAGATCAAAACATACCTTCTCCCTTGGGCGACAGCTCCTTCTCGCTTGTTTGCAGCTTCAGTCCTTTCAGCTTCTCCCCTAGCTTCCCCCCGCCGGTGGTAGTGGGCGACACCGGCGTCGCAGGTCCCATTGGATAATTCGGATCCGGATGACTGTTATTGTTGGCATGCGGGCGCTCCGTCAACGAGACCCCGAAGTTGGTCTCGATCCACTCCTTCTCCTGCAACGCCATGTGCAGTGCGATCCCCTCGACATTCGTCCGGCACTCGTCGTGAATCTCCTTGTCCAGCACCTGCAGCCGCTTCTTGGCCCAGATGGTGTGCAGCACTCCCTTCTTCCCCGCGGAGCGACCGTCCGCGCCCAGCTCCGGCGGAAAGATGGCGGGCAAGGGGTTCAGATGTAGGGGCTCGGGAGCTTTCGAGTTGTGATACGGCTGATCGGCCGCGGCCGCGGGGCTTTCGTAGGAGAGCGTCACAGTCGGCGGGATGGTGACATGTGGTGGGAGGAGGAAGTATAGTCGGCGCGTGTTGTCCTTGGTCTTCTCATCGGCGGGGAGTACCGCTTGTTTCCCTTCCCAGGCGACGTGCCATGAGCCGCCCCTGTCCGATGATGCAGAGGACCGGCCCAGGTCGTCATCCTCCCATTCGATCATCAAAATCTTGGTCCCATCGTTGCCCTTGCCGGCCTCGAATTCGAACCGGGCGAGAGCGGTGATAGAGATAGTGCCATCGGGGACGCGCGATGAGTCGAAGGCCGCGAATTCGTTGTTATTGGGGGTAAAGGGCGTGGGGAGGGAGTAAGCCATGGCTCTGGGTGATATTGTTGGAGGGGTTTTTGTTTTTCTTGCTTTTTATATAGATGAGGTGTGGCGTAGCACGGGAGGGGGATACGTATTAGAGGACCTTTTCAGGCAGACCTGGGTTGTCGCTAATAAGATGAACAAGGCATCTGAGATGGGGATGAGGAAGACGCTGGAATGACGGACCGCCGATCACGGGTCAGACGAGCAGACAAAATATGATAATATGGTGCTTTAAACGCGTGAGAATTCAAGAAAGGAGATAGATTATGGGGAAAGAACGGGAACACCCAGTTGGTGATGATCTTGTTAACGGCGATGATGATAGTTAGTGGTGGTGGTGGTGGTGGAACTGATTGATTGATTGATTTGCATTATTGATTTGAGGGGTTCTGAAATTGATCCATGGGCTTCTAATTATAGAATCAGCCTTGGCATCACACCGCAGCTTTTCCAACGCGCTCTCGCTTTCCCTCTCTTGTTTATTGTCTCGCTCTGTCCCCCTTCATTCCTCTTCTGTTGCCTGCTGCTTCTTGCGCGATCCATTGCAGAAGATACACGAAGCGGAGGAACAGATCCATGGTCAACCCTGAATGATGCTTAGAAGGATGCCTGCTTAGCCTCATGGCTGACACGGAGACTGAAGGAGGAAGACGACCTGTACCCCACTTGAGGTACAAAGAGAGCTCAAAGACAAGAAAGGCATCGAAGAGGGACCACTGGGATAGATAACAAATGGGTGAGCAACAATGGGGAAATGGCCAGGTTTGCCAACAAATCCCATGGTCTGACCGGACAGCCAGTTCCTGTTCGTTGTGTTCAGTGATAATCATGGGTTGCTCCGGGAGCGAAGACACCATGATATACATAGGTAGACGGAACTATTACCCTCACACTCTCACTCTCGCACTCTCTCTTTTTCTTTCTACTCTCTCTCTAAGCAGCCATTTAGCCTATCTGCCGCCCTCCAAGAGTCTATCTCACCCGCTCCATCCAACTGAAAATGTCAGTAAGGTAGGTTATGGTACCGAATCCCAAAGTACAAAACAGTATCATACCGCCCCCTGGAGACCAGCCCCAAGGCGGCAGCATGCGAGGACGGTCTTCAGGCAAGGGTGTGAAGAGATGCGATGATGCAGGGAATTTGCGCTTAAACTGCCTGGAGCAGTGGACGTGCCGCCCATGATTTGTTCTAAGTATGTCCCATGCGCCATGAGTATCACCTGAGGAAACGAATTGTCCACGGTCATTGGTAGGCCCTGTTCACAGAAAGAGAGGGGGAGTCAACGCACGCGGTCTGCAATCTTCATCACAAATCCAGCATAAATAACATAGCCGCTGGTATATGGAAGAGGGGGAGAAGAAGTGCAACTAAGAACCACAGCCATTCGTCACGATTTTGCAAAATGCCGACGAGGTCGAGGTCTATGACTGGCTGATGAAATGCTGGCTCCACCAGTCAATCAAGATTTGGACCGTGGTGGTTAGTCCGGAGGTCACTATCGAGAGGGGTCGTACATTCAATGCACAGACTGGCAGATCGACGACAGTCTGATCGTGTGTGTGAGTATTGAGCACGGATTGAGCACGGATCAAGTCAGTTAGGATATAGATTCCTTGAAGTAATATCGTCGATGGCAGCAACAATCGGGGTGCATCCATCAGCGATGACCCTCAGCATTCAGCTACATCCCCTTGATATAAGGTCCGTATGCGATCGCAAACCACTGTACACAGTAACGCCCATCTCGATTGCAGCCGCCGGAAGAGCAGTTGCCAAAAATATCCCCCTCCGATTGACCCGCCTAGACTAACAGCACGCATACATAAGCTAAGGTAGCATCTTCTGTGATCAGTCAATCAGAGTCCATCTTCAAGGGTCTCTGCAATCACCAAAAATAACTTTCTTAGCCTGTGATGAATTTAGAAAGTCTGCAGATATGCGGAAATCCTGATGGTGGGCATTGTCCATCCATTCATCGGCGTCAAGGGGAAGAAAGTGCGTACCTTTCTTCCTTCCACTCACCTGCTGATATTTTGCACTGTTCATCTATGCTGCAGGAAGGACACAAATCGAATGTTCCAACCGGATAGGTCCACCTGTGAGAGATGAGCTCCTCTCTCTTTCACTTCCTGATTAGTACATGTCCCTAGGCTAATTCCATCATAAAGATCCCCATTCCACGTCCGAACAACTAAGACTTAACCAGGACCGTCATATTGTGTTAGTTCTTTGAATTGTTCTCGAATATGTCAAGGAAGACAGGAGAGGATTGATTGACGCGCGCGATGATCTCAGGCCCCTCCCAAAGAGGGCGGACGGAACATAGTGGGAGCGGCTGAGATCACGGCGGCAAATCCATGGGGTTGTAAGGAATTATGAGTGTGATGGACCGAGTTTTCATCGGGTGAAAAATCCTTCACAAAGGCTAATAACGATGGGCAGTACGGGGGGGTATTAAGGTACTGTAGTAGGGCTGGTATCCTTGTATGTCCCTCTATCTTGGTTCTCCCCTTTTCGTTGTTCTTGTTTTTCATAGATCAAAAGACGATAAGGACGATGACCTTCTTCATCATCATTAATCACTTTCTTTCTTCCTCTCACGATCTAATTTTAGCACCGGCGACAGATACTAGCAGGGATACTGTGATCCTGGTCGAGAAGTGCCAGTGGTAGTGAGGTAAGTTACTGTTAGTTAGTTACCTGACTGTTAGTCTGTAGCACATCGTGGCAGCTGCAGTTAAGCGCCGGGACTAGGCTACTTTGAGGGGCCAGTGGGTCTCCCTCCGCGATTCTCTCCCTCCCAATTCTGGAGCCATTGGTTCCGCCAGGATAAGAATCAGTATGTGGGGTCCACGGTGGGGGAGTTGGGGATGACGTGTGGTGGGTTTTGGCGCCGAGGGAGTTGACTGGCTGGCTCCTGTGGTCAGTTCAACATGTTCATTCATTCAACTTACTCAACTCTCATGGAGTTACTATTTAAATCAAGGAAAGAAGACGCGGTAGAGCGTGCATCGATTCTTAAATAGAGTCCTATTGTCTCGAAATTTTTAGGAATTAGAGGGGGGCTTATAGGATAGAACTACCATCGTCGGCGAACCTGATCACTGGAGTCATACATAGTAGATCGATTTCTCGAAGCCCTTTTACCTTTTACCCACCGTCTTGTTCCCTGCCGACTAAGATCTCACTTTTTTCTATTTACAGCGTACTCTGAAAATCTCTTTTGCTCCCCACCCCCCCTTGAACCCCGTTTGCCTGCGCCCGGAATTCTTCAGCTACAAACATGAAACGTAGAGCGCGCTTTGTGAGCCAATTATCTTCCCCCAACGCGGGGGGTTAGATCACAAGTTGACCTACCAGGGTTGCCCCTCTTCACAGTGACAGAAGGGAGACCAAACCAGCGGCCGTTTGCACGGCTGATTCGACCTTTCCTTCCACGGGGGTGTATCCCCGAAAGTTTGGACCCAAATAATAATTACCTAGTGACGAGTTGTCAGCTTGGAGTTGGCTCATTAAGATCTTACCTAAACGCGAGGCTTGAAAGAGTGAATTGGTTGAAGGTGGGTTTGGCACTCATGAGATTTTAGCCTTGAGTGCTCCAATGGGGAGGGTAGGGTTACCGCCGTGGGTTTGCGCTGGTATGGCATGTATGGGTAAGTTACCGTTACCAGCTGATGGTGGGCTGGTGGTTACCGTACATCTATACGTCAAGTTACTTCCATAACTACTACTTAGTAGTCAAGTCCTGCTTCTCCTTTCCACCCCCGCACTTTTTCACAGGTCGGCCTGGGTAATTGACTGCATCAGTTTCGTTGACTAGGTATGCTTCCTATCTCACGTATGCGAGTTGAATGGTATGTAATCAGTTGAATAAACACTGCATACATATGTATCTTACCACGACTACCGCGCAAGAAAGCCGCATCATAACCACTCCCATCACTACCCTAACACCATGGATTCCCACCGGAAAATTACAAATACCATAATTAGTAGACCGAACGGACTCAGCCAGATGAATTCATGAGGTTCATATCACCGCGTTAATTCCCCCAGTCCCTATCAACTTAGAAGGACCCATCTGTTCAAGTAAACCGCGCCTGCGAAGCCTAGACATCCTATCCATCTTCTCTTAGTACCCTTTGGGCTTCGCCGGTTGCTCCAATGATCAACTCTACCACTTCCCCGGGTCACGACCCTGCAATGGGAACAAATACCACTGAAAGCGCTTGGACTCACTGTCTCACCCGCGGGAAGGCACTGTCAGTCAGTGCGCGCTTCCGTATCCTTGGCTCCATCCAGGTCGTTGGCATGAAGAGGGGGTCCGTTGGGCACCGGATCGCGCTTAAGCTTGAGTCTAGGAGGGAACAGCACGAACTACGGGCGAATCGAAAGGGAGTCAAGAGGGGTGGATGCATTCCTCGCGCTCTCGGTGGTGGGGTGAAGAGGATTGTGTAAGGTTCAATTTCTTTATTGGAAGGATGACTAGCCGGAACACGTGGAACGATTGTGGATAGGCAGTGCTTCAAGGGAATTTTCGGTGGGGTAGGGGAACGGAGGGATAGGTTGAAGGTCTGGGCTCGCGGCGCAGATGCGTTGCAGGAGGCACTGGGTTGATGGCGATGGTGTTGTGTTGGCCTGAATTCACTGCGGGCTGGGTGTGATGTGTTAGGGCAGAACGATGTATGAGTGGTGAAGAATTATAAGTGATGAGATCGGGTTCTCGCTGAATAGTGTACAAATACTGTACCTTCTTGGTGAGGTAGATATGGGAAAGAGCTAAGTTGAAAGCCCAACTTGAAGGCCGGTGTTGATAGGTTCGATGGCCTACTACCTATCGCTAGAAGCATGATTATACTAGGGTAGTCAACGTCACCATCAGGAGATCTGGGACATGGACATGTCGTCATGGGCCAAGTCTTGCTCCTGTTTGCTACAAAAGACCAATGACGCTTTTAGCTGCTTCTTGTCCGAGTTACTCGCTGATTCGCGTCCATTGGACAACACAAGAAGGACTCTATCTCCCAGGAATGGCTGGCATTCTGGTGTCTTGGAGAAAATTCAAATCATAGTTGTTATGTCCTATCCGTATTGACTGTTGAGCCCGCTCCCCAACTCCCAAACGCCAAACCCAGCGCTACCAAACTCAGGCAAACAAAGATCCCTCCATCTCCCACTCTCACGGTTCTTCTTTCTCTTCACTATGCTTTCTCCGCTTTCCTTTGGGCGGATCCTCTAGCTGTGTCCGCTTATATGTCACGGTATGGGTCACCACATGCCGCACGCTCACTCGGCCAGCGGTCGCACTCCGTGGTCCATCCCAGTACCGCAGCTTCCAATCCGACGGCGAGTAGGGCGACAACAGCGAGCTCGCGCTCCGGGGTGTCTCCAATGTAGGCGAGTATCGCATAGCGGGAGGAATACGCAGACGACGGAGGCTCATCATGTCCCGCCGACTTGGGGGCACGGTGCCGTAAGGTGTGAGCGGCGGTAGTGACGCCGTGGCGGGTCTGGTTGCATCGGAGAAGCTGAATGAGCCGCTGACTGCACTTGCTGGCTGTGAGGTCGGCGTCTTGGTGGCCTTATCCCATACAAAGCGCGTAGTAGCCCCATTGCCATCGGCTGGGGAGAAGATTGGAGTGAGGGCTTTGAGGAATTCCGTGTAAGCAGCCGGAGGCGTTATAGGCGTTGAAAGACCGTCTTCACTAGTGTTCCTCCCTCCTCCCCCTGATAGACTGGCTCCTGAGTCGGTTTGAAGCTCGGACGGAAAGGTCATCGTCCGCGGGGTCTGCAACGGGTGGAGGATTGGCTTGGCCGGCATGTTGAGATAAAGGTGGATAGATGTGTGTGAGGTCTTGCGAGCCACAGTATTGTGTATGGGGGAGCAAATGTAGAACACAGAAGCGTGTAGTGTTCTCTGGAGACAAGGCCTGCAGACAGGTTACGGTAGTCTGACAAGGACGCGCCTGACCCTGTCACGTAGTGCGTGCGTGGCAGTAGACAGGGGCACTTGTTGTATATAGATTCTGGATTTTTGTATGAGACAGTTTGACCCCCGGGACCAATGGGCAATGCTTACTGAGGTAATGTTCGGGCACCTCAGGGCTGGAATAACAAAAACGATAAGGAAGAACGGAGAAGAAAGCTTCTCTTCTTGATCATTCGTTCTCTTCGAATTCAATGAAGAGAAGGGTGGTGGGCGGGGGTAGAGAGAGCCAGAGGGATGGAGGGCGGGCGAGATGTGGAGGGCGAGGGTTATTATTTATCTCGAATTCACGCCGACAAGCCTAAGAGGCAGACAGATTTCGAGTACGGTACAGGTATCAAGACTGTAAAATAACGAGACTCCTGTACTGGCAGTAATTCTGGTCTATTAACCACCTAATTATTCAAGGTCAGTGTCACGCGCTAATCCCCAAGTGGCTTGTTCCCGACAGGTGCGCGGCTGCATCGATTGAAGCACCCTTTTCCAACACTCCTCGAGTCTTCTCTCTTTCCACACGCCGTTCGACTCACCTAGTCTGGCTGCAAAGAGGGATGGATCTCCCAATGCAATGGACTACCGAAAACTGCAGATTCGACTGGTGGGCATTGACTGGCTCAGAAATGCTCGGACATGAGGGGAAGAATGTGAGGCCCTCGACTGCAGATTCAGATCGTTTGATCTGCAGAGGATGTGTGACAATTCAGGAGACAGTCTCACTTACCCTCCGAGAGGAATCGTACCTCAAACACCTTTCGACCATGTCTTCTTTGATATTTCGCCTTCTCATAGACCTGGAGGTCCTTGAATCTTGCTTCAATGGCACAAATGCCCTTCGTACAATGCTGCAAAGTAGCACATGGTCCGAGATACTGTCTTAGGGATTAACGCGCGCTATCTTCCAGCGCCAAAGCTCGATCTCTCCTTAGCCACCACACAATGTATACGTCGGATCACCCACTAAGGTGCGTCAAACCCGATTGCATGCCCGGAAAACCATCTCAGGCCAAAGAAACTCGGAACCCTTGTCGTTGTTGCTAGTGTTAACGCACACATCTGCCGGTCACACCTAGTGGCGGCTCGCTCAGGGAATCCATCATGTAAATCATCAATCGGATGCACTGTACACTTATAGTCTCTCATCTTTAAAGTTATTGACTGGGAGCTCCAGCTTCGTTGTCGTGCTAGTCTGGCGGTTGGGTCCGATCAGACCTCCGCGCTGCATGTTCTTCATACTGCCAAAGCGACTCTGCCGACTGGGCGCATGCAGTACCATCCCACGCATCCGTGCTTCTTCCAAAGAGGGAGACACAATTGGTCCGAAGCTAACATGAAGCCATGTCAGTCACCCCGTTGCCATGGCATAGCGGATCATGCGCGCGGGGTCTGTGATCAGCACCGTGCTTGAGCTTGTCGGGGTCTTTCCATCTTCCCTCCTTTGTGTGTGAGATGTTCGAGATAGACGGAAAGGTATCGTGCTATAGTCAGTGAGACCCCACTCTTCAGCAGTATATCTTTCGCAGGCAAATCAATCATGATCTTGGATAGCTTACACATCATGCTGAATGCCAGGTGGATGTTCCATAACTCATGCGCACAGTAAGTGTCCTATGGGAGATAAGACTGTCGACTTCTTCTCCTGCTCCCTAACTCGACTTGGTGTCTCGTACATTCTTAACACATTGGTTGCTACTCAGTGAGTATTGATGGAAAGTCTTACACTGCTGTTTTGGTACAACACCCAGCACGCTCTCTACTCAGCATTGGATGCAAGTATTTCCTGCCGCATACCGCCTAGACCTTTAATAGCTGCCATGTCACCCTGACATCCAACAACGCCAAATGCGAAAGCTTACTCATGGTTCGAGACCAAACTTTGCTGACGGCGTGGGTGAATCCGGTGATAATTCCACTCAAGTATATCACAACTCAGATATAGCCTTTCAGACTAGGGTCTAGCACTCACTCCCTGCGGCATCAACCAATGCCATCATGGCAACTGCTCCTGTCAAAATTTCATATATTAGTAATTGAATTCAAAACGCTGAATGGACGAAGTTGTACCGGTCTTCTTAAGTGGCTCTAAAGCAAGAGTAACAGCGTGGTCTACTCGACTACTCCAGTCATGCCTCATTCGGATCCCATCATTGGGCGTGTCGCCCGGAAGACATATAAACTTGACATCTAGACCAGCGATACGTACTTGGAGTCATCAACGTAGGCTTACCAAATCCTAAGCACACAAATGACCTTTGTACGCGAGGTGACAGATTGGAAGAACGTAACTGAAGCTCGGCCTCGTAAGGGCAGCCTTTCCCAATAATCAATAATGATGTCTCTCCGAGTCTCTACGTAATCCTTTACCTGTCTAGAGTAGTAACAGACACGGGTTAGCAAGCATGCAGTTCAAAGTGATGCGATCTCTCCAGTACCTCAACGCCATGTGTGGAAATCATTCCCTATGATCAAGCAGAAGCAAAATGTCCGCGCGGTGCGGATATACTACAATGTCACGGTCAGTGATCTGGGGATCTACCGTGATTGCATTGCATGACGCCAGAGGAACCTACACCAGCGGATAACGTGTTGATGCGGATGTCATATTGTCCCCATTCCCGGGCGACAGACCGACACATCCGGTGCACGGAGGCTTTGGAGGAATTGTATGCTGTGCAGGTAAGACCCTCCCTAGTTGTACCCGCATTTTTAGCATCAAGCACATCTTCTTTTTCTCAAGAGGGCAATTTCCTTACGCGGTTGGCGATGTGTCCCGACATGGAGGCAATCAGTACGATACTAGCAGGGAAATTTTGTTCCTTGAAGATACGAGCACAATGTTTGGCGGAAGTAAAGGTACCAATCACGCTGGGTTTCGAAAGTCAGCATCGTACCCTCTCCGTTCTAAGACGCATCTTTGAGGTTTGGAGATGGAGGGAACTCACTTGACGTCCAACATCTTTCTCCACAATTCCACTGAATAGTCCAGCGCAGGCGCCCAGTGCTGAATCCCGGCGCAGATTACAAGGCCACGCAGGGTCATGTTGGGACTCAATGCATCTGGAGCAATCTGCTCGAGGATGTGCTCTGTGGAAGCCGCATCGGTGATGTCCACACGACACGTACGATGCGTGGAGGCGTCCTGCAGCGGCCGGCCAGCTTTTGCACAGACGCCCACTCGTCGGCGCTGGGCGTGGGGCAGAAGATCTAGGTACACGACATCACCGCCGGCTTCGATGACCGCGCCGGCCAGCACAATCCCTAACCCTCGGCCACCGCCGGTGATGACAACCGTGCAGTTGCCGAGTGAGAAGAGGTCGTTGGTGCGGCCGATGATAGGGGGGCTTTCTCGAGCCGGCGACGGCCGGCGTGGTGTGGTCGAGGGCTACCTCGGGAGTTGTGTTGTCGGTAATGGAGGGGGACATGGTAGAAGGTAAGGTGTCTAGAGTTCTAGGTTCAAGGATTGGTGATTGGGAGTGAGAAGGAGAAAGGAGCCTCAGAGATAAATGACAGAAAGCTTGTCCCGCGATTATACCTCATGTATGTGGGATTGAAGCTTTCGGTAGATGAATGGGCTGCGCCCCCAGTTAACGTATATAGGAGATAACCTGCAGTGAAACAGATACTTTATTCTAACACTTCGTGCATGCGTGCTGCAATGGGCACCGTACTCGTTGTTGCGCTGGGATTTCTAGGGTCACTTGTAAGGCAGTAAGTAATACCTCACTCCAGGTGCCGAAGCCTACTCAAAACGTTGCCGATCTCTTCGGTTCATCCCACTATGGGTCGTGCCGAAGCGCCTAACGCTACCTAAACGGGGAATATACGAGCCGTAGGTAACTTTTGAAACTTGGTGATGATGCCCTAATCGAAACCCACTCACTCAATCAAATGATGTCTTGCAGACTGTTTTGATCTACACGGTGAGACCGTTTTTATTCTTTGGACAGCACTTCGTTGACCGGTGTAATAGGCCCCATGTCGACTCCGTACCCATACAACAGCTAAATGCGCAGGTGTTGAAATGCGTCAAAAGCTGGGTCAGAAGCATGACTTTCCACCATGAATAGAAAAGCTCCAGGGCTAAATATATTTCGGTGAATGGGTACTCCGTGGTTAATGGACTATGCTGAGTAATAGCAGAGAGAAATTGACCTCGTCACAGGAACTCTTAGGGGTTTACGACATCTTGCCGGAGACAGAGACAAGGACGCGCTATACGTAAGTTCGATCATAGCATAGACTACCCCACTGACCAGCCTGATCAGTCTGAGGTAAATAGTGCACAGTAGCCTGTGCGGCTTCTCCTCACCAGTAAAACACATCTTGCTAAAGACATCTGTTGCTAGAAGAGAAGATAGCTGAGACCCGTTGCCCAGGCGACGCTTTTAGTAGAACTCATAATGTCCCAAGGAGAAGGTGGCTGGGCTCTAGGATGGAGTAGTAGCTCAGGCCATGATATTCCATGAGATATCAGGGTCCCAGTCACCCGGGACTACAGCAAACCACTACATAGTGGATCTTTTCTTTGGTTGGGATACTTGGACATATTCCTTTCTGGTGATTGGCGAGGCTTTGGCTGAATCATAGCGAAGAGAGAAGAAAGACATTGATTCATATCCAAGTTTTGATTATCTGCTTTCCAGGCTGGAAGTTGTTGCTGGGAATGCGACCCATGCTGGGTTCAGCCGGAAAGGGGGAAAGGAGTCAAGGGATGGATGGGCGGGGACCCTCTTTCTTGAATATCTGAGGAACCACCATTTCCATAGGCCGCTTGATCAATTTTCTTGCATTCCATGGGCATACCTGCTCTGGGATTGTTTCTTGCTAAGGTCCCGAGGAGGACTGGCCCGAGCGTCTCCTGGTCAACCGGTGACGGTGGGTTGTGGAGGTGCTGGTGGGGGGTTGCAGGGTGAGTGTCGCCGGTGGAATTGAGATCGGACGGTCGTGTCTTACCCTGATGAGGATCCATATAGACTGCGTATTGTTGAATGTTCTAGAGACTAGAGTTTCGATGGTTTGTCTGCATCGAGGATCTAGACTCCCAGTTTCGCATGGGTCTAGACTGCACAGTCTACGAGCTTATATAGCACAGGGAAAGGCGAAGCGGTTGTCGTATCCCATATGCTTGCTAGTAATTCTCCGACCTCTCCACTAATGCAAGATTTAAATGTTAATCTCGCTGTACGCCGTATAGTACTAGTATATTTGTGATTCAATAGAGACGCGACTTGACGCAGGGAGCAACGCACAAATAGTATTCTTGGCGGCACTTGCAGCACACCCGGCACCAGCATCAAGACAATCTGATGGGAGGGGTGCTAGTGGTAATTCGACACTGAAAATAGCAGTATACTGCAGACTATATGTGAATCAGATAAAAATGTCTATTTAGTTAATCATGATGTCGGGTACGGAGGATGACTTCTTGAGTGATATTGTTAAGTAGATTGATGATGATATTATGTCGAAGATATATAACGCATGCACCTCAACGTCTATTTGGTCTTTACTACTAGTAAACTTCCACCGCACCCACCCACGCTTTATTGTTGGCACTGTACAGAGTAGCTAATGCAGTTTTATCTACTACATGTTTAGAAGTCTCTTGTAATTCAAAGCCTGCAACATGGCCCTTGGTCCACAACCATAATCAATCGCTTGAGACAATGAAATAACAACAGACCGTCGAATGCGGCCAGACCAGACCAAAATAGAAGCATCAAATACTTCCGATTGCCCCAGCAATTACAGAGCGCCACCCCATTCGCCGGATGGAGTTCAATCCACTGAAAACAACAGGAATGTCTGTCTGCATCTCTTCAACTGTCATCTCTAACTCACGCACATGAAAAGACACAAAAGATCTGGATTGAATCTGCCATGGAAAGTGAAGTGTCGCAAGTCGCTGCACTCGACAGGGAAGCCACCACCAACCCCCTCCCTTCCATCATGCATTGAGCGACAGCGATGACCTGAGCTCAGACATTGTCCTTGGCGACCGAGTATTATCAGTCGTAAATGTGTCACTACTCCCCGAACTCCACTTTGTATGACCGGATCTTCATGCTCTACGACATCTCGTCTCCTATCTTTCCGCCTAGAGTTGCAACCCTACAGTCTGCCACAAACAAGCTTTCATCGAAGAACAACACCCCGATCTTGACGACACCCATCCAGACGATCGCGAACGACGAATCATCTGGGCGAAAATGACAGGTCACAGTGCGCCTGAAGCTGAGAAACATCCCGCCGCCGTCGAGCTCCCCGCCGAGTCTGAAACACCACCACAGAAGGCGGCTTCCCCTGATCTCCAACCAGGGGAGTACAACCCCTTTGTGGGCGCGAAGCCCTCCTCACCCTTTTATCGCCATGCCACCCCATCAGTGACCATCGATCGCCTGAAGGCGGAAAGCGAGAAACCCAAGCCCACCAGCACCCAGCGATATATTTCCCCGGTCATCCCCGAGAGCCCGCCCATGTTCAACGTATCTGCTTTGGAGTCAGGCAGCCGTCATGAGTCGTCGTCCAATCTGTGGGGCCAGCCCCAGCGACGCTGTGGCTGCATGAGCCGGCTCAGCAGGAAGCAGCGTATGATGGCCAAGGGAGTCATTGCCGTGGTCGTACTAGGAACCATGATTGCGATCGCGGTCGGAATCACGGTCGCTGTTGGAGGAGCCGTGTGGAGGTCGGATCACCGACAAGAGCTCATCGGCTAAGATACCAGGTGTGTCGACTACTTAGTGTCTACATTGGGCTGCACTCATGGAGAGAATTTTCAGAAGCTAATGGTGCGCCGACGACAGGCAGGAGTCTCGGATCTGTCCCCTCCGTCGATACTTCGATGCTGCAATGTTTGGATCGTACCTCAAAAGCAACACATTAATCACTGCGGAGCAGAAGGAGTCTGGAGTCTGAATAACATGGACATTGTGGAAATCGGATTGGATGTACATTTCTTTGTCTTTTTTTTTTTTTTTTTTTTTTTTTTTTTTTTTTTTTTTTTTTTTTT